AGCTTGAACAAGGTAATAATATTGTTACTATATTTGTTGTATATAAGTGTTGTTGATATACTTCTATTTATCGCACGACTCATTATTTTAATTTTTTCTTCAGATTTAGCCAACAATGGAAAAGACCCTTCCGTAATTGACGTGTAGTGTTAATATATTTGGTAAGATTATTCATCGGCAATTCTTTTTCTGAAACTCTTCATTTCTATGCTTTACATTTCCATTAGTCAGTTGTGCTGGTTTTGGTCAGAAAGATTTGTTGCAAACAACACAAAAAGTCTAATTCGGAAGAACCATTTTGGTTATCCAACTGAAATGCAATATCTGGTTAAAGCTTCTTCACTTATGTGATTTGCATTTTCTATTAGTCAGTTGGGCATGTACTTGGTAGACTAATTTCTAGAATGTCAATTCTAGAGTTATAAATGAACATTTGTTGTTTGTGCCTGACACGCTCTTGCATCTTAATGGGTTTTGTGATGTAGGAGGACCTTTTGGAGTTGCAAGACGAGAAGCTTACTTCAACTATGAGAGAACAACAACAACGGGCACTTGAGTTTTGGGAGTTGCATTAATGTTTGGCATTCTGCAGTACCCCTCAAAATAAAGCGTCTTGCTCGGGTATTTTGTAGTAGTATTAAGTACTTTTCGGCACAAAATGGAAGTGGTTTTTGTTAAATGGTTGGGCGCAAAGTTTTGTTTCTGTAAGTGGTCTTGAATGTTGAACTATTGGATTGGTTACGAAGTTTGTCTCTTTAGTGTTTCCTCAGTTTTATCCAACACTGTTTACTATTAATACTTTGTATTGTTGTGGACTTGTTTATTCATTAATGCAGCTATTTAACAGGATCAACTATTAATACTTACTTACTGCATATCAACTGAAGTTTGATATGCAGTAACTAGTGGGGCTTATAGAAAAATTTGGCTAAGCTGAACTTGACCAACTCTGGCAAAGCAAATTGAATGCATCATATTGCCTCTGAAATGTTATTTTTTTTATGGCAATTCATTATTTCTAAGACGAGGAGAATGGGAGATATTTAGTGAATATGTATGTTAGGCCGATAAACCGCCCGATAAGAGCTAAACCGATACCAATCCGTCCGATATCTTATCGGGTAGCTAACGGATTAATACATTTAAAAGCCGATAACCGTTAAGCCAAACCGTTAAGAGTAAAAAGCCGCTCAATCCGCCCGATAAGCAGCCCTATTTAGAAGATATGAAATGCTGCCCTGGTAGTAGAATAAGGATGCAATTGTGATAAATAAAGGATGATGTTTGGACCTTCGTTGAGTAATGATTTGAAGAAGAAAAAAAAGGATTTCATATATTGTACAGGATTAAAATACCCACGTAAGGTGAATCACATTGGGATTCTATGAAATACGGTTATGAAAGCATGGTATCGCCCTAGGTGGATCATTCTAATCATTTTAGATGTTCCCCGATAAGATGTGAGCCCTAGAAGCAGTATTACATAAAAGGTCAAGTTATCAGTGGTAGATTATATATCAATATTAAGGTGAATCAACAATGGATGGATAAAAATTACAAAGTATGAGATGAGATTAGGCCGTCACTCTTAAGATGAATAATAATAATAAGAAAGCATTAAAGGACTTAGACTTATACATATAGGATAAACAACGAGAGTAACCTGGAGTTTGGTAGCAGATCTCAGTAATGGTAAATCAAAGTAAGAGTTATGGTATAATATGACCTACCTAGATGCAGTAAAGTCATACGGATGGATAACCGGGTCTATGAAATAAGACATAGCAATATTCGTAAGTTTAATAAAGTACCGAGCGAAGAACATCAGTATACCTATCGGTTCCCATAGAGATATGTATATGTTCACCAATTGAGGCCTAGAGATTGGCTAAAAGCTGGAGAGAAGAGTCGCATAGGCACACATTCAAGGAAAAAGTCATACAGGTTGCATGACAGAAGATAGCAACAGTTACGAGATTGGAAGAATTCTGACCACAAGTCGTGGTGTGAGAAAGAGGCATAAAGGGGAGAATGCCCTGGCCTTTGGATTTATTGACAGAACAGATTCCTAAATGGCAAGGACAGCATTAAAACCATTCGTAAGACCTATCTGGCTGTGAGACAAATAAGTGCATCAGTCAACATTCGAGGACGAATGTTCTAAAGGGGGAATGATGTTACACCTCACAGTATTACGACGATGTTACACCCCGTAGTATTGTACATTGAATTTGTCGTAAGATAATTGACATCAGTTCAAGGAAAAGATTATTTTGAGGTGATAAGTATTACGCTATTTCAAACAAATGATAAGTAAATTCGTGAAGGTGGGAGGGTAAGCGAATCGAAGAAAATGAGTTCCGTCGAAGTTTGACAATTTGGAGATAAAATACGGTCCAAGTTATAATACCCTATATTTATGGACTAGTGTCATACAAGGTACCACATGACCATGATAGTAAGGTGTATAAAGTGAGTTAAAAGTGAGTAGTATTTTAAGTAATTTGAGATGATTTTTAATTATGTGGATAATTGGGTAATTATTAATTTTAGTGAAAGATTAACGAATTAATTAAGACTTTTGGATAAGCCTTAACGTGGCAGCCAAGTCTTTAGGAAAATTGTGACTCTTAGGTCCATTTTATAAGGTGGCACATTAAGAGAGTTTTATGGCTTAGTCATACACAAGTGGGGCCCACACCCACTAATACAAAAAGGCTTCTCTAAATCACAAAATGAAGATGGTCACACTTACTAAGTAACAGATGAAAATGCTTCAGCAAACTCATGCAATGTGATTTGCTACAAAATTCATACAAGACTACTTAGCAATGTGAGAATTGTGATTCTAAGGGAGTATGGTGCAATCTTTCTCAAGAATATCATACAAATTTTTCCCTACTTCGATCTTGACGTCACGTGTTTAGTCGCGATTGTCGTGTGTTAGAGGGATTGTCAAGAGAATCGACTTAAGTATGTTAAGGCTATCGCTTCTTTCCTTTTAGCATGATCCATACGATACAAACGAAACGAGCAAATACACAACTTTCATAAATGACTTTATTCATAGAAGTACTAGAAATGCTTATGTTCTTGATTCCCCATGTGTCCTATTATTGTATCATCTATTCATGGGTCTCAGAAAATACGTAAGTTGATAAAGTTTATTTTATAATATTAATCAAAGGCATATTGATCTTATGACATTCCGAGAAGTATTATTAATGTACTTCTTATGCATTTTATTCATGTATACGTGTACATTGACCAATGACCAGATAGTGTTATATACACATATATTATATGTAAATGGGATATGGGAAAAGGTTACAACGTTATATACGTACCACCACCTGATCAGTTGGTATACATTGATTATTTTGCCCATAGTGGTCGGGATGATATGATAGGATGCCCTGAGATGTTTGATGATAATATGTACGCATATACCTATGCATGGTATGACATTTATATGCATATGCATGGAATTATAAATATTAATGATTCACAGAATTATTCAGACATACATGTTGAGTCGTTTACTCTATGTTTCTCTCTTGTCTATTGTTTACTGATTTTCATTCCTTACATACTCGGTACATCATTTTGTACTGATGTCCCTTTTGCCTGGGGACACTGCGTTTCATGTCGGCAGGTCCCGATAGACATGTTGAGAGTCCTCCAAGTAGGCTATCAGCTCAGCAGAAGGTGTTGGTGCGCTCCATTTGATCTGGAATTGCTTATTTGGTTAGTATATTAGGATATGTATTGATTGATATGGCAGGATTCTGTCCACACCTTTATGATATTTATATACTCTTAGAGACTTATAGACAGATGTCATGTATAAGGATACTTGTATGGCCTTGTTGGCCTATGTTTTGAGTATATAAATGATCATGTCAGCCTTATAGGCCCGTATGTCATGTGTATAAGTTTCTATATTATGTTGAGTCATCCCATATCCAGTATTCTCTTATGTTTAATTCTGGTTATCTCGTGACAGCACGTTTGGCCCACTTACCCATGATGGTACGATAAGAAAGATATGTTACGTTTGTACTCGGTTGAGTAAGGCACCAGGTGCCCGTCGCGGCCCATCAGTCTGGGTCGTGACAGAAACTT